CTTTATTCCTATTAATATGATGGATTACATTTATGGTTTTGTGTATGTTTAACCAAGTTTGCATTCCTGGAATAAAGCCTACCTGGTCATGGTGTATGATCATTTTTATACGTTGTTGGGTACGATTTGCTAGTATCTTGTTGAGAATCTTTGCATCTATATTCATCAGAGATATTGGTCTATTGTTTCCCTTCCTCATCCTGTCCTTATCTGTTTTAAGGATGAGGGTGATAGAGGCTTCATAGAATGAATTAGGGAGAGATTCACTCTTTTGGATCTTTAGAAATATGTTGAGCAGAACAGGGGTTAACTCTTCTTTGAAAGTTTTGTAGAATTTAGAGGTGCTTCATCAGGGCTAGGGCTTTTCTTTGTTGGGAGGTTATTACTGATTCAATCTTCTGGATTGTTATGGGCCTATTCAGACTTTATATATCCTCCTGACTCATTCTTGATAGATTATATTTGTCCAGGAACTTTGAGAATTTTTCTTAAAATTAATATGAAGTTTAATTTTATCGTTTTTGGAAAAGATGCTGGATAGAGTTCGTATGTCTTTGAATATTTAGAAGCTTGCTTTGTGCTCTGTCATGTGGTCAATCTTTGAAAAGATTCTACCTTAAAAAAAAAAAGTGTATCTTGGGATTTTTCAGTGGAAAGTTCTATAGATGTCTGTTAAGTGCATTTGATTCATGGTATCATGTAGATCCATTATCTTCACTTTTTTGTTTGCTGGGTATAATTATTTTGATTGAAATTGTTTTTATTTAACACTGTAACTATATTTCTTCATTCTTTTCTTGGTTGCCTCATTTCTGATAAGAGGTCCTGTTTCTTCTGTTCATTTGTGACTTAATGTTTCTTTCTTGGCAATTGTAGAAACTTTTCCTTTTTTGTAGTTTGGCCTCCTGTGTATGATGTGCTGTGGAAAAGATCTTTTTTAATTGATTCTATTTGAGATTCTTCATATTTCTTGGGTTTATATTTTAGTGGTTCTCTAGACTTGGAAAGTTTTCTTTCAGGATTTCATGGAAAGTTATTAATTATTAGATTATTTATATCCTCATTAATTTCTTCACCCTCAGGGATACCAATTACTCCAATGTTTGGATGTTTAATGGTACCTAGATAAATCTTTTATACATTGTCCTCCTTTTTCTTGGTATTTTCTTAGTATTTTTTTATCTTTTTTTTTTGTAGGTTAGAGGTTTTGTTTTCTATTTCTAAGATTCAATCTTCTGCAGGATTTAATCTTTTATTTTCAAGGGAAGTTTTGATTGTCTGTATTGTAGTCTCACATTTAAAAGTTCTGTTTGATTTTTCATGGTGTCTAATCCTTTTTTTAGTATTTTGGAAGGACATCCTCATTTCTTGGAGTTGAATTTTTATTTTCTATTATATCTTATAAAGTTTTGTCACTATAAATATCCTATTTTTTTGGCATTTTGATAATATTCTCTAATTTTTTTCATAGTTGGAGTCAAGTTACTTTATTGGAGTTGTATACTGGTTTCTCTCATCCTTGAGGGTCTTCTCTAATTTTTGTAATTTTGTATTGAATTCACTTTTTACTAATTTGTTGAAGAATTCTGTAACTGTGAACTCTTCTCTTTTCTTTTACTTTGAAATAATTTTGTGCTAATTTCTTTCTTCTACTGTGTCTATCAGTGTGGTAACTACAGAAGTTGCTTGAGATCAGATTTATGAAGAGGAGCTTCTCTCTTTATTTAACTGGTTCATGTGATGGGGGTGAAAAATTCTCTTGAGTCTTACTATTCAGATGTTTGTCTGCTATGCACCCAGCCTTTTCTAGATTATGTATGAGGACTGAGCACCAAAATGAGAAAGGAAAAAAAATAAAAGATATAAAACAGAAATAGGAAGAATAATAAAAGAGCCAAGCAAGAAAGAACAAAACAAAAACAATGGAAAATGAGAAAAAAAATGCTTAAAAGGGAAGATAAATTAAACATGAAAATTTGGTGACATGCTAGTAGTTATTCTAGGAGAAGAAAAGGGCAATACACACAGAGATGGAGATGTTTGCAAATATTCTATCCTATATGAGGCAAAGGGAAACAAATTAACAAGAGAATGTCATGGGGACAAGCTATTTTTTAAGTTAGAAAAGATAGATAATAACAAGATAAAAGAGATTATCCTAACCTTTTCTAGCTTATGGAGGAGTCTGGACAGGGGTACTGTAGCTTTGGACTTCACAGCAGTGATGAGAGGCTCAGAAAAAAGCAGCACATGCAGAGATGGAGAGGTATGCAAATATTCTGTTCAATGCGTGGAAAAGACAAACAAATTAGCAATAGAAAGGTGCAGGGGGGAAAACAGGATTTTTTGGGGGGGAGGGGTTTTCTTGTGTGTGTGTGTTTTTTTTATAAGTTATAAAAACAATAGGGTAGACCGAGATTTTTCCTACCTTTTCTAGGTTTTAGGATCTAGAATAAGGGGCCTTGACTGGGGCTTCACAACTGTAATGTTAGATCCAGAAAAAGAAAGCAAATTCAAAGGTGGAGATGCCTGAAAATATCCCATACTCAATAAAGGAGAGACAAATATCAAGAGAAAGACTTAGGTGTATAAATGGTTTTTTTAATTATTAATTATTATTATTATTATTTAGCTAGAAAAGATAAAAAATAACAGGTTAAACAGAGATTTTCCCTATCTTTTTTTCCTTCTGGAGTCTGGAAAGGGGGGAGCCCAGGCTGAAGGCTTCACAGCAATGATAATAGGTCCAGAAAAGAATAGCACATACAGAGATGGAGTTGCCTGCAAATATTTTATCTTATATGTCTTTTTAAAAACTTAGAAAATATAGAAGTAACAGAATAGAGATTTTGCATACCTTTTCTAGATTCTGTAGGGTGTGATCTAGTTGAGGGCTTCACAGAGTGACACTAAGCACAGAAAAAAGAAGCACACACATAGGTGGATATGACTGCATATAAGATAAGGGAAACAAATTAGCAATAGAAAAATGAAGGGGACAAAACTATTTTTATAATTATAATAGATAGAAAATAACAGCATAGAAATAGATTTTGCCTACTGTCAACAAAAAATAAATAACCAACTGTAAAATTAATAATTAATGTGGTTTATTTCCAAACCAACTGTGTGACCTAGGCCGGAGAAGAGGCATACATGCCTTTTCTCGGGGTGATCATGTACAGAGGTTCCTTTTATTTGCTTTTGAGATTGACAGACAACATTTAATTAAAAGATTTCCCATTGGTCTGGCCCAAAAAGGCGGGACATGTAGAAGCGGGGGCGGGGGGTTGTAGGTTATAGGTGGGTTCCACAAATTCTTAGGTCAGTGATTGGAAAGGAAGATCTGTATCTTGGGAAGAGATTAGTTAAAGAAAGGGTTAATCTACATCTTATACATCTTAAGGAAAAGGGAAGAACCATGTCTTGGGAAGAAATAAGCAAAAGAATATGCTGTAATCATTTGAAATATACATCTCAAAGATACTATGCCAGAAACAGGAGGCAGGAAGAATCCTGTCAATAGAAAATAAATGGTCTATAAATGGTCTAGTAATGTTTGTAGGTATGACTTCCCCAGTCCCTTTTGGAAAATAGAAAAAGTAGTCAGATTTCTGTCCACATTCCCCCCTGTTGGCCAAAAATCATTCCTCTGAATGCATGTGTAGGCCACAAAATTGACAGGTCCCATGGTGCTAGGGAGATTCGTCCCTAGGAGTCATGTCCCATGGTGCTAGGGAGACTCATCCCTAGGAGTCAAGTCTCACGGTGTTAGGGAGGCTCATCCCTAGTGATCAGGTCCCATGGTGCTAGGAGGCTCATCCTAGGAGTCAAGTCCCAGGGGGAGGACATGTCTGACAGACTTTCCCTAAATAGCCAATTTACCTTTTGGCAAAGGGGAAAAAGTCAAGCATTAAAGTTCAGGGGGAAAAAACATCTTGGAGAAGATGTATGTGCTACCATAATTCGGGTGTGTGATTTTTTTGTTGTTGTTGTTGTTCTTCCTCTTCCTGTATCTGGCATAGCATTTACATGAGATATAACACAAAGGTAGAAACAATCATTATAAAAAACTGCGGAGACTATGCATCCAACAGTGTTGTAAACAGAATCAGAGGGCATCAAACATCCCAATCATCCAAAAAAACCTCTACATGCCTCATCATATTTCTTAATCAGGCTCACAATATGTTTACCTTCCTTATCAACAGTTACTTGAACTGTGTGGTAAATTTCATCCAATGATTTTAATACTGATACTAGTTTAGAGTCTAATAAGTTTAATTTTTCTTCTGGACAGGCTGTTTCCATAGGTAATACATCCTGAGGGGGTATAAGGTAAACTCAAGAAACATCTGATCTTCAATGTCTAGATTATCATAGGACTTGTTTATAGGGAGCAAAATTACCTTCTCAACAACTTTAGTGTTGCACCAGATGTTGGTACTAGGTAAGGTAAAAGAAGTCTTATTACAGGAAAAATTATAAGACTTCCACCGTGTCATTTTGTTTTCCTTCCCAGCAAAAAAAAATGACCTTTTTCCTTGTACCAGATGTTATGTTTTATGGACGTTGACACCAGGGGTCAGACCTGCGAGAAATCAGGATTCCAAGTAACCTGGGGACAGAGCCATTCTCCCCTCCTATTTTCATAGTCAGAAAGGGAGATGGGATGCTATGTACTTTTATTGATCAAAATCGCCCAGTGACTCCCCATAGGGAGTATTTGTGAGATATTTGCAATTGTTCCAATGTCTGCCAATTGGACTACAGAGTGTTTTTATTTTTTTTGGCCCGTGTTGTACTTTTGGCACATGGGCTTTAAGGATACAATATCTGAGATCACATTTACCATCTAAGAATTTCCATAAATCTGGAGGCCCATAGGTCACCCATAAGTGTTTGGATTGTGCTTCAGCACCGAGCAGAAAAAGGATCATTAGTGGAAACATTACCCAATTTGATGAAAATCTTGACCATACCTTATTATTTTTAAAAAATCTCAAGAAAAGAAGAAAAAAAAAGAATTTTTTTTTTTAAAGAAAAAGGAAAGAGAACAAAAGAATCTTAGTCAGGTCTCTCTGGAGGGTGTCTCTGGGGTCTTTCGAAGTCGAAGACGAATATCAGAGATGGGTTCAGAGGTCCAGGAGTGAATCGAGATAGGGACTGGGTCAGGTGCTCGTTTTAGGTGTGTAACATGGATCCATGAGGGGACTCCTTTTACCTTTGCAGCACATGAATTTGTCAAGAGTACCTGATAGGGTCCTTTCCATTGGGGTTGTAGGGAGTCCTTCAGTTGGTGCCGCTTCCAATATACAAATCACCTGGTCGCAGTCCATGATCCTTTATGTCTTCATCCCCCAGGTGCTCACTGTGGAAAGATTTCGTTACCAATTTTGCACTTTCTGTTAGTGTCTGAAGAAGGTCTTGGCAGTAATGTAATATTTCTCCTTTTATTAACGCTTGTTCATATAGGCCTTCATCCAGTCTCATAGGTCGTCCTGTGATTATTTCAAAGGGAGATAAATGATGTTTTCCAAAAAGGGTGGATCTCAGATTTAACAAAACCAGTGGTAGGGCCTTTGGCCAAGGGAGGCAAAAAGCTTCCATTAACTTTGCCAGTTGAGTCTTTATAGTACTATTTGTGCATTCCAACAAACCAAAGGGCTGAGGGTGATAGGCACAATGGAAATGTTGCATTATAGGCAAGATCTTACAGATCGATTGAACAATTTGTCCTATAAAGTGGGTTCCTTGATCACTGTGCAGCTCAGAAGGGATTTCCCAAAGTGGAATAATTTTTTTCTAACAGGATTTTTCCAACGGTTAAGGCAGTAGCCCTTCAACAGGGAAATGCTTCTACCCAGTGGGAGAACATACAAACCAGAACCAATACATATTTAAAATTCTGAGATAGTGGCATCTGGATGAAATCCAATTGCCATACCTCAAAGGGTCCTTTAGGTAGGGGAAAATGACACTGGGAACCATGCAAGGGCTTGCCAGGGTTATGTTTTGGGCACAACGTGCACCAGGAATATACCTTTGCAGCTATTGTGGGGGATGGTTTCCAAAAATGTTTTCTCCATGATACCATTTTTTCAGGGGCCCAATGAGTCATTTCATGAATAAATTGGAGAAGAGGTAGCTGTGCACCTACAGGAACAATGGGTTTTCCAGTAAGTTCTACCCATAAGTTTTTGTCTGCTACAAACTTGCCTCCCTTTTGTTGCCACATCTGTTTTTCTCTAGGAGAAGAAACCTGCTGGTATTGAAAAAGAATGTTAGAGTGTTTGCAGGCTTGAGGGCACATTCCCGAGCAGGACAGGCCATTTTTCCTAGTGCAGCATTTTTTTGCTGTAGTATCAGCCAAATTGTTACCTTTAGTTTCATCTGTACTTAGTTTTGAATGCCCTGGGATTTTTATAATAGCTATTTGCTTTGGCATCTGATTGCTTCTAATAATTCTGAGACTTGTTGCCCATTTCAGATGGATTGCCCAGACAAGGTGAGAAAACCTCTTTGTTTCCATAACATACCAAAATCGTGGGCCACTCCAAAGGCATAGCAACTGTCTGTGTATGTATTCATGACCTGTCCATTTGCCAACTGGCAGGCTCTAGTTAGTGCTATTTATTCAGCCACCTGGGCTGATTTCACTCCTAGGAGTTGGGCACTCTCAGTGATCTCTACCGATGAAGTAATGGCATATCCTGCTTGGTAATGTCCCTGATCATCCCTTAAATAGGAGCCATCTGTGAACCAGACCAAGTCAGCATTTTCAATGGGGGTCTCCTGCAAATCGTTCCTAGGGGAGAGAAGGATATCAGTTAGCAAGATGCAATCATGGTCTTCTTGTTCATCTGGCATGGGAAGCAAGGTGGCAGGATTGAAAGTGTTACAACGTTTTAGAGTTATGTTTGGGGCAGAAAGTAGGAGCACTTCATAAGAGGCAAGGCGACTGATGGAATAGTGTTGAGTATGGTGGGAATTCAAAAGTGATTCCACAGAATGGGGGGCATATATAGTAAGTGGAGATCCAAGGATGAATTTCTCGATGCTCTTGCATAAAGTGGCTGCAGCTGATATAGCTCTCATACAAGGGGGGTGAATCTAACTATTGGCTAAAATACTCCACTGGTCTGTGGTGGTCATTATGTTTTTGGGTTAGTACTCCCAAGGCATTTCCATTTACTTCATGAACAAAAATAAAAAAAGGGAGTCGGTAATTTGGATGACCCAGCGCTGGTGCCTGGGTAAGAACTTGTTATAAGTTTTCTATGCAGAGTTTCTCCTTTTCTTCCCAGCAGATTGGATCTGGCTGGACTTGTCTCAATTTCTCATATAAAGGCTGGGCCATCAGTGAGTAATTTGGAATCTAGTTTTTATAGTAGCCAGTAAGTCCTAAGAACCTCCCTAATTGTCTTTTTGTTTCAGGTATCTCTCAGGATTTATTAATAGCCCCTTTGAAGAGATTATGTGTCCCAGATACTTAATTGTAGGAAGACAAAATTGTAGCTTGTCCTTAGATACTTTGTGCCCCCTATCTACGAGTTGTTGTAACAAGTGAATAGTGTCTTTCTTACATTTAGTCAGAGAGGATGAACACAATAGCAGGTCATCCACATACTGAATTAAGATGGATCAATTTGGAAATTCAATGTTTTCTAAATCTGCCTTTAAAATTTGGGAAAAATATGTTGGAGACTCACAATAACCCTGGGAGAAAACTGTCCAGGTGTACTGTCATTTTTCCCACATAAAGGCAAAAAGATATTGACTCTGTTGCTCTATGGGTATGCTGAAGAAGGCACTGCATAAGTCAATGACAGAGAAATGACTGGCATTTGTGGGGATGCTAGATAGTAAGGTATGGGGGTTTGGAATCACAGAATGTCTAGGAATTATTATTTTATTAATGGCCCTAAGGTCCTGAACAAACCTCCAGCCCTTACCGTTTGGCTTTTTGACTGGAAGATTCGGTGTATTACAGGGACTAGTGCAAGGTATTATGAGGCCCTTGTTTAAAAACTCCTGAACAATGGATTTAATTCCTAGCAAGGCTTCTGGCTTAAGAGGATACTGTTAGGCAAAGGTTTAGACTTATTTATGGCTATCTCTATGGGAGTACTTTCCAATATCTGAGGAAGAGTTTGCCCATAAGGAATCAGATATTTGGGGTAAGAAAGTCTCTATTTCCCCTTGCCTGGGGTCTTGGTCAGCTTTTATCACCATAATATTACATGCAGGCTTTTGCAGGTCTTTGACATGTCCTAGATTTAGGACCATCTGCCCCTTCTGTGAAAATGAGATATGGGCATTATGTGTTTCAAGGAAATCTCTTCCTAGCAAGTGCATCTGAGCACTATCTACTATAAGGAATGTATGGTGGCCATTGTTGCACTTTTGCCCAATCTTGCGTTGTTGCCCATCTTGCATTGTTGCACTTTTGCCCAATCTATAACCTTAGGAAATACTTGAGGTAGAACAGTGCAGAGGCGGTCTGAAAGTTCTCTGCATTCGTTCCTTGCTTCTGCACTTATTTTATCAAAATCATCCAAGGGGTTTTTCCAATCTGCTAACCTAAACCATTCTTCTGCCTTGTTTCCTGGAGCTAGAAGCTGGATTAGCTGATACAGATCTGAAAATCCTGGTTTTAAGGGTTATTTCAAACTCTTTTGCGAATCCAATAGGGTCTTTAGTTGGGTCAGGAAACCCCGATATTAAAGCTTTCAGTTCAGCCTTTGTCCATGGGGTATACATTACGTTTGGCTCTCCTCATCCAGTGGGTTTCTCCTTAAAAGAAGCAAGTATGATTTTATTTCCCACGTTAATATTGCCTACACCTTCTTTAGTTAGGGGAGAGGCAACAGGAGTATGAAGAAATATAGAGTTGTTCAGACAGGGAGTTCAGAGAGTAAAGGACACGGAGGAGGAGCAGGAAGAGAAATAGATTCTGGTGCCTTTTTTGTTTCAGAAGCAGGTTCTGTTATCCCTTTTAATTCTGAGACAGTCTCAAGTATTTTTTTTATTAATTTCCTGAAGGGATGTAAGCTTATCATTTCCTCTTTTAGTTGATTCTAAATACCAATCAAAAAAAGATTCCCATTCTTTTTCCTTAATGCAAGACCCTAGTTTTTCTAACTTAGCATGCAAGAAAACTAGCTTAGGAATATCAAACATTCCCCACTTAGGAAATTTCAATCCCAAATCACCTTTTGTAAGTTTTTCCCAATTTTCTAAGTACTTGCAAATTAAAGCGCCATAATTATCGTACATAAATCTAGCTGGAGTGCCCAATGGGGGTAGCTCTCCTTGGTTTTTTTAGTTGTAGATGTCTTATTTCCCATATTTTACTCCTTTTTTTTTTTTTTTTTTAGGAAAAACGGGTCGGGAAAATAAGGACTTTT